ATTATGTCCTCTAGGGGACGTGGACGTAAAGGGACGTAAATTTTATATGCTAAATACTTTAGGGACCCATCTTTAATGATAGCATCTGTACATTCCCAGAGCAGCAACAACAGCATACAAACCTAGAAGATTTGCAGTCATAAGCTTTGCAACACAAGAAGACCTTTTGGAAGTGGTACAAGAAACATACACCCTTGGAGAAACAGAACTTATCTTCACACCGATCGTAACCAAACTCTGTGCAATCTGTAACTCTGAGAACCACATTGCCAAAGATTGTCCAATCAAGCTTCGCTGCCAACAATGGCAGGAATATCAACAAGAACAAGCATCTAAATTTGGAACACTATATAACAAATTCAGATCCACCAAAACAGGCACAATTCGCAATGTCAACAGACAAAGATCAGATGGGCAAAGCAGAGCAGGATCCTATGCAACTGCAGTCAAAACCCAAATACAAAAAAGAGAAGAAAACCACAATCCATAACAGAAATCGCAAATCTCTTAAGACAAATTCAAAGAGACCTAGAAGAGGTAAAGGAAAAAATCACAGAACTAGATGAACGTATCACAAATCTTGAGTACCACAATAATGAATATTATGAATCCATGGAAATCGAACAGATCAATGAAGAAAAGAGTGAAATAACCAACCAACAGCAACCACAAGAAACACAAGAAAACAACATGAATGATATCAGAAGTCACCAAACACAACTGTTTGCCTCTCTGGATGGGATGCAAAACAGTATGAATCAGATCATAGCAACAATGGATACCTTCACTAGAATCCCAACCCAATCACACAAATCAGATGGGGAATACAACCAGTGATATCTCTTCGGCCCAAGAAAACAGTTCAAGCAATAACACAAACACCACAACACTAAATTTAATCACAGATGAACAACTCAACAACACCTTTTCATGGTCAGACTCAGAAACATCACAAGAAGATACAACAATAACACAGAAAGAAAACCAACCAAACATACACCAAACCACACAAAACATAAGAAATCAAATGACAGCATCAACAATATTAGAGAACATCAGCAACAACACAACAGATTCACTTGAACAATCACCAACTGGCATGCAGCACAAATGACACATAGTAACACACAATACAAGAGGATTCAACAACCCTCTCAATAGCAAAAATATTGTACAGACAACAAGGTGGATATAGCTGTGGTTACAGAAACACAAATCACAAATGACTCCAGCAAGCATTGGAAGGTTCCAGGCTATCAAAGCTTTGCATCAGAAGATAACAAAGGGGCAGGAATCATTATCATGCTCAAAACAGAAATCACACAACACATAGGTGGTGTAGACAAGTTCCTAGGAAGAGGTATCTGCATAGACCTATACTACAAAAACAACAACAAAGTCAGTATCATTGGAATATATGTTCCAGCATCACTCAGCAGCAACCGCAAACAATTTTTAAGCTGGACAAACCAAAAAATTATGGAAAAAAATAACAAAGACTTTCTAACCATTACATTGGAGACTTTAATGGATTGGCAAACCCAAAACTTGACAAACTTCATCACTCAAAAGCCAATTGCAAAACATGACCTACAAACTCAATCCTCCATACACTCACACAACTGGGCCAAAAAAGAATATACATGGAAAAATATTAATGGAGCTGCAACACGAATTGACTATATCTGGCTGTTCCCAAATTCAAACTGGTTCACACTGGAGGCACATATTATATCATTAGAGTTTATTTCAAATAGCGATCACAACATTGCTACATGCACAATACACACACCCATAGGAGATGACCAAATAATACCACACAACACATCTTTCAAAACAAATGCATTCAACACTAAAGTGACAAAGGCAAAGCAATGGAAGCTATTTCAAGAGAAATTGGACAAGGAAATAGAATGGCAAGAAGATTTACACAACATCACCCATATGTCAGTAGAAAGACTCTGGAACATCACCTGGAACAGTATCTGTACAACAGCAAAAAGGCACGTTAAGAAAGCCAACCCCAAAAAGATCTCCACACACAGGAAAAAAAACCATTCACAACTACACAACCCCAACCGAAACATTGGCTCAGTCTACAACCTTGGGAAACTCGTACATTTAGCCAATACATACATCAAAAGAAAGAGAAAGTCAAATACAATGGTTAAAAAAATCAACAAAATAACAAAATCCCTACAAAAACAAAACATACCCATAACAAACTTCCCCTTCCAGGAAAGCGCCAACCCAAAAACAAAATGGCTGGAAGAAGTAAAAGACCTCTGGCAAGCAATGAAAAAGACAACCAATCACGAACTACAAAGTAACATCAATGCCCAAATCAAAGAAGCCACCCAAAAAAGAATGGAGCAATATTCGAAATCCAAAAAGAAGATGATTAACAGCATACTATTGCGAGAGCACAAAACAATCGAAATGAACACAATTGTCACCAAAGATCCAGAAATAACCATCATCACAGAACCAAAAGAAATCAAAGAACTGGCAAAAAAGCATTTCAGTCATCAACCAGTACACCACAACA